TTCTAGAACCTGTCAAAGAGTGAAGATTTAATCACTACACTTTTTTCTGGTCCTGAAACCTAAATTCCTGGTTTCACCGAGCCCCACTCAGTCTTCTTCTCAGATCTATGCAACCTAGAATCTATTACTCTCGCGATTACCACAAGAAGAACATCTGTTTCCTTTCTTATAAACTCAAACGATCAACATTCTATACCAGTCAGTCCAGTTGAACTATTTGACATCTCCAAACATGCATTAGGTAATACCATAGTCAATCTAGTCGGAGATTCATCTGGTTCAATGACCTTCCCTCATTCCACTCAACAAATAAGTTTTGCATATTTGGCTACAGTTGGATTAGATGTGTCTATATCCTATTCAGGTGAGTGATGGATGGTGGACAGCTGTAGTACAGCTGTGTATGAGCCAGTTGAAGTGCCCTTCAGCGTCTTCTACACAATTCTTTGACCATCTTTCCTTAGAAGTTATTAAAACCTTATCAATACAACATCATAGCTTTTTTAGAACGCGTTTTACTGATGATGACAGTCAGTAAACACTGCTCATACATTTCCATTTCTTTCGCTTACCTCTCCTACTACCGTTTTCCAGTCGTGGTAAAGACTTTTCACCACCTCATGTTTGAGTACTTTTTGCTCCTCCTTGTCGTGTTCACACTCTGACACTTTCAGCCTTCTTATATGCATCGGTTCAGATGGGACTACAGAAGTCTACTTGGATTCACTAACCCACTCTCGACTGTAGGTTATCAACAAGCTTTGCATAAAAATATATATACTACTGATTGATTGATATGAGTAGTTTTAAACCAGCACTTATATCAACCAGTGTCGAAAGTAGAAAATCAAGTTCATACGCGTATGTTATGATTGTCTATAAAATAAAAACATTCAAACTCCTATTTATGACTTTCTATGGAGATTTTCAATTCATTCAAATTATTATTATGTAATCCTAGATTACATTTTTATTGATTAAATCTTACTTTCAACTTTGAAGGGAATAAAGATAGTGCTTGATTTTTCAGTACAAATGTTTGTGCTAAGTAGGTAACATATTGTGTGACATATTAACTTTGATTACCATGAGATGTTATGTGATGTGAAATTCGCAAAAGATGAGTCATACCGAATAAAAAACAATGACTTACTTCATACGTTACTGTAGCAACATGTGGGACTACCGCTAAATTAAACTTCAGAGTATACTAGTCTTGTTAACCAGTTGGTGAACTTTACAGAGTAATCTCTGTTGACAAGTATTCTTCTTCGTAGGGAGGTAATCAATGAAGATGGGGAATACTAGAAGTAGACATTTGAATTCAAATAACTAATGTGGCGTGAAATAGACTGATAGGAGGCGACCAAATGTAAAGGTGTTTACTCATCAAATCTGGACCTTGTTTACGTTGTGGACATGAAATGACTTCATTGGACAACCCGTCTGACCTTGAGCCAGTTGACAGCCAATTAGAACAATTAATTCACCTCTGACTTATCCGAACTTTAATATGGCTAAGAAAGTGTGAAGGTGCCGCTACAGTGGGGCAATGAAGATCCTATGGCTTGTTGCTTTCGAAGAACGAGACATAAAGAGCTCCTTGCGGGGCTTCGATGCTGTCGCTGAGTTGGTGGGTTCCCAGGATTCAATGGTGAAGACGGTTGTTCTTGGAACTCTGCTGAGAGGTAGGGTAAAGACATTATACGAAGATGTGAGGCGGGCAGGTAGTGGGGAGACCCGGAAGGTACTGGTTGAATGGTTGGTGGTGGAGTCGGACAGCAAGACGGACAGATGGCAGGCAATACGGAAGTTCCGTGCCGTGAAGCTGGGACTGGACGGAAACCCAGTTGTACTGATGGTGAAGATGACAAGTGCACTTCGTCGCGCTATTCCCACACTTAATCAAGAGTCCGAGACACAATTGTTGGTGTCCCAGTTTATTGGAAGTGTTCTCGAACACACTGCTCAGTGATTACAACTAGTCAGCTCTGCACGACCTATGGACATCAATGAGTTCGCAAAGATGACAAAATATATACTGAGCACAACCGTAGCCTCAATAGAGCCACTGAGGATGAACCATTGGGATCAGAAAATTAAAGATTTGCATCGCGAAGTAGTGGTGCTCCTACTGAGTGCCAGAAAAGGCCAATGCTCTGAATGTAGGAAACCAGGACACTAAAGAAGATGCTACTCAGGAAGACGAGGGAGAAAAAGATTCTAGGTAATATCATGTGTGTCCATACTCTCCAATAAGACTAGAAGTAGTGGAAGTAATCGACTGGGGAGCCATGTATTCCAAGTTATTACCAAAAGGTAAATAAGTCGTATGTTTAATACCTGCAGGGGCGGCAGTCTCGCTAATGGAGAAGAATCTATATTTCAGCGTTAGGCCATGTTCACTGACAGTTCAAACAGTAGGTGGACAAGTATGAAAAATCACAGGCATGTCAAATTGCAGCGTTCATACTGGGTATCGCCAATTATCTTTTCTGTTTATTGTTATGTCTCAGTTACGGGGAACAACTCTTGGGGCTGATTTTCTGCGCGAGTTTAATGCTATAGTCAACACGAAAGACACCAACCAATCAGAATAATTCATTCTCCTCTGACTTGGTCGAACTTAGATATGACTAAGAATGTGTAAATATGATGTGTTTATTCCTTAAAATAAAGGTATGTTATCAAGTCTCTCATCTGTTCCCATTACAATTCTATATGGTTAATTCTGTTGGATGAACCAGTCACTAGGATAAACTGAATTTCTTACAGTTTTCTATAGTTTGGTTTGTAAGGATTAGTTACTTGCTACAGGATGGAGTTTCCTGGAGTTCTAGTGAGAAGTCGTGACCAGTGAGGTACATCCAGATGTCACGTGTGTGGATGGATGTCCCACCAACGACAGTGGTTGGAGTCGCGCTAAATCACGAACTGGTAGAAGTTAGGATTCATGAGCCAGTGGCTAAATGGTATACGAGCTAGCCTTGTGACCGGAAGGTCCTGGGTTCGAATCCCAGCGGGTGCGTACTGCCGATGATTCCTAAACTAGGATGACACAGCACCTGTTCAGTATTCCCTGGTTTTCAATGGTTGTCTAACTGATATCAGTCCGTGATCAACTCGTAAAACATAACTTATCCTTGCAAACCAAACTATAGAAAACTGTAAGAAATTCAGTTTATCCTAGTGATTTTTTCATCCAACAGAATTAACCATATAGAATTGTAATGGGAACAGATGAGAGACTTAATAACATTCCTTTATTTTAAGGAATATTATTATATTATTATTAATATTAATAATGAAACCACTATAAAGAGAATATCGTTGTAAACATAATGAAGTACAAGTAGATAGTATCATAGATAATACATTTAATTCAGTTTTAGATTTTCCTGTCGATTGATTGGACTGAAGTGCTCAGTCTCATCACTCACTGCGGAATGCAGGTATATTCAGTGACGAGTCCCAAATAGGACGAAATGCGCATCCTGTATTCCACTGCTGGTCACCATCCACCAATTAACTTCTAATATATAATACATGTGATAATAATCTTTGCTTATACTTTGCGGTTCAGTTACTGATTAAAAAAAGTTTATAAGTTCTTTTCTGACATCTGACTCCCTCTTCACACAAATCCCCTGCCAAATATGGTGGTATGGTAGACTTTTTATATTTAGTAGTTGTACGAGCGTAAATTCTTGTGAAGTTTCTTCTGGTTACTTCCCCCGAAGAGATACAAGGCAAAAGTTGAGAATAAAGAGAATGGTCGGTATCAGACAAGACAGCCTTAGCCAAATGCTTGCAAGAATTGAAGTGCCTATTGACAATAATGTCAGTTAGATGAGTCAAAGGCGCACCACTAACCCCACTTACAATCCTCAGTGTAATAAGTAATATGACATAATCTTTTTTGAGAAGTCTAGGGAAGAATACTGGCGAAGAATAAAGGAGAATGGATAGAACATATAAATTGATAAACTGTACAAGAAGAGGTTGAGTTATGACAGCAAGTCTCAACTTCTTTACCTAATAAGTCAAACGAAAAATTTCCTTAGAAATCAACAGGATATGAGACAACCAATAGAGATTCGAAGAGAAACTGATGCCGAGATGAGAGATGTTCGATTTATTCCCTATCACGGTGCCGTCCATATTACAGGAATCATACGACTGAACCAGTCCACTCAAGTCTTGTTCGCATCTGAAGCTAAAATCAACAATATGACATTTAGATGGATTCAGTTTAAGACCATTTAGGTGAGACCATCTGTTAACTTCAGACAAGAATCTATTCATATAAAAACAATCCAAAGCAGAAACTACTGGGACAGAAATGTTTAGATCATCAACATATTTAATGAAGTTATCTTTGGAAGAATATGGAAGGTCATGCAAAAAGAAAGAAAAAACCTTGAGACACACCAGTTTCCGTTAGCAACGAAGTGGAGCGCTTCCCATTCATCAGAACAGTATGTTGTTTTCTACCGGAAAAATACAAAGACAGCCATCTTGTGACCTAGGACTCAGTGTTTTGCTGAAATCAGCTAGCTCAGTAAAAGTGCAACAGTGTAGTCTAAAAAGGAGGCTTGGCAAACTTTGCACCTTTATCAAGCCTTTAAACAATATTGTGATAGGGCAGCACTTAACGTGCTCCTACTACATTTGTAAGCACATTGCTTTGGGTCATGAAAATATTTCAAAGAAGGTTTAAAAACATACAAGAGAAATTTTTCCATAGTTTTCAAAAATGGAGACATGATGGCGATTGGCCTAAAATTTAAACCTGATGAGGCTAAAATACTTTACAACAAAATAAACTTAAGTCTGTTTGGTTTGTTGTTGTTGTTGTTGTTGATGTTTTTTTCTCAATTACAAGTATACTATCTGATGTACTTGAGTTTCCGAAATACTAAGTTAGTTCACATCCTACCTTTAAAAAAAATATGTATACACTTTGGGTAATTAAAATACTCACGTTACTTGAAATGGAAGATTTATTGACACTGAAAACTTTAATTGCTCCAATTACGATAATAATAATAATGATAATAATAATAACAGTGATAATAAATTGGACACGATAATACTTAGACAAGTACATTGAATACACATGTGTAAGGATTACAGGAATTATTGAAATAAAAAGTGTTGACTGTTAGTTATAACTGCAAAAAACGAGATATACATATATATGCATAACTTTTACGTCTTTCACGTGTCTACATCCATCCATTCGTTCATTCATTTGCCGAAATAGCCATGCTAACTTCCGTTATTTTCGACTGAATCACATGCTGACGTAATATTCCTCCTTACCTATCTATCTGTGTATGTGAGCAAGGACGCTATTACCAAGAAGTGGACGCTCACATTTTGCACATATGCACATATGCACCAATTAATTATCGCGTTAACTATTTCCTCTTCACTTTCACTTACTTGATGGTATAAATTTAAGCGTGTGTAAAAAACTTGATTTCATAATTTCACATTTCATGTTAACAGAAATGAAGGTATGTTAGAACAATTTCAATTGTGTTGTTTATTCATAATCTATTTTTTCAAAAACATGTTTGTATAAAATATTTTTTTCCAGTAGAAGCACTCACTATCATATACAGTGATGCAGAGTGATGTAGATGCTTAGCAAAGAATTGTAGTTTACAGTATATTACCTAACTTGTTATGAATTAATTAGCGTACTATTTATTTATTCTGTCACTGAGCACACAATTAGTCTCGTAACCTCCAGAAGGTTCGGGGTTAGATCTTTACGGTGGGGTTGTGGATGTACACCGATGAAGAATCCCGGAATAGGGCGAAATAGTTGTGTAACAGTGCTCCCCGCTAGTTTTCATTGATCTCTCTGCTCGATGTCAGCTTGTAATTAAACATTGCGTTGATTAGTGTTCATCAAGTACTCTTGCAAGTTTTCTATGTTTGATTAGATAAGATTTTATTTTGATACAGTAATATTAACTGATGACCACGTTTCAAGCACAAACTATTGCCACTCATAATCATATCAAGTCATTCACACAACTTTTTCCTTCATTTATATACATGAGTGAAATTGATGATTAGACATTTGAATAAAAATCAATATAGGATAATGTACATTCAGAAATAATAATATGAGTGTTATTGATCAATTACAATCAGATGGGAAATAAGACGAGTGTTTTTATAGTCATAATAAGTAACTTGTTAGAATGTTGTGATGTGCTTGAATTGAAATAGAATTTTGAAGTTATTTATTATCCTCTTCCAATTTGACTGGCAGTAGTAATATCTTCCATATTTCTGGTATTTGCATTGAGTCATTTCTGTTGCATGTGTTGGGTGTAGACTCAATGAACCAGGATTCAGTAATCAATCTCTCTCTCCACCTACATAGATTACTTCTTAGAATCTTAACCCTCTCCCACTCTATTGTGTGGTTGTGTGTTAATGCATGTAGTGCAATTGCTGAGCTTTTATTCTAAATTACTTATCTTCTCGGGGTCAACCATTCTTACCCTAGCCAAATTCTTATGTTCCGCCAATCTGATTATCCCCGATCTACTAGTTTGACCATATAGTTGACCTCACCGTCATTGTAGGGTATTTTGTAGATGATATTATTTTGTTTAATTGGGTCCACCGGGTCTTTTAGCCTGCAGATTTTTATTCGAATAAGTTACTTGATAATTACTGAATGAGGGAGGCCATAATATGCAATCGTTTTGTATTATGAGAAATTAGGAACCTTCTTGAAAGTGTTATATATATATATACAGTAGATTGGTAAAGTTATTGTTCCCTTGGGTTCCAAGTGGAACATATGGCTTCAACGGAACATCTCTAATTTTTCCTATTCTCTACGGTCATCTTTAGCTGAGGTTCCATGGCTGCTCATAGTCTCTCTTTTCCTTCGCCTCATATGATCTCCTCCATGCTACCGTTGTCTCCCATTTCGGGCTTTTCTCACGAGTGTGCCTGGCGCGTGATGTCAGTAGACGGTCTCCTCAGCATGCAACAATTTCATCTCCTTTTTCTTCCACATATTTGTTGAGCAATAGGTTATCCAATTGGTTCGTTCCTAGAGTTTCTTGTTGCTGATTCTTTCTGACTGGTCATCTAATCTTCACTGTAGAGACAGCGAAGTAAGTAACTGTTGATAAAAGTCTTCTGTAGCCTGCTGGAGATGCATTTGGTGATGTCGGTACAAGTTTCTAATCCTTATAGAGGAACTGACTGGTTAAACATTAGTGTTGAAAATCCGAATGTTGTTCTTTATAGTGATGACTGGGTTTGGAAAATTTCCAAACTGATTTTATCAGAGTGATGATGTCTGTCTTGCCTTTCCAATTCTGATCTTTGCATCCTCATCCATCGATCGAATATAATTCATCTTCAACAGTTAAGTTTATTTACAACACATGATACTTGCAGTCAAATAAATGTTTAATTTCACACAGCAGTTCCACGTCTCGGATTTTGAACAGAGAAAGAATAAGCATTGGTGTAGAATAACATGGATGTATTATATTTATTAGGTTCTTAGGTTGTATACAGCTGAAGTGAATCCACGGAATACAATGGATCCCCATTATTTTAAGTCAGTGTTTATTCATTCTCTCTCTTCAAACGCTGAATTTTGTTATGGATAGAATTTTATTTTGGTAAATTCACACAGTGTTGTATTTAAGTGAAGCAAGAAAGTTGTGTGAGTGGGTGCCTTGATATGATTATGAGTGGCAATAATTTGTGCTCGATTATTATTATTATTGTTCCCTTGGGTTCCTAGTGGAACATAGGGCTTCAACTGCACGCCTCCACTTGCTTCTGTCTTGTGCTGTACTTTTCACTTGCATCCATGTTAATCCATACTGTTTCAATTCTTCATCACACGATCTCCTCCATGTCACCCTTGCACTGACGTCCCACTCGCCGCCACTTCCCTTTCGGGTTCCACTCGAGCGTTGGCCTGACGCGCGATGTCACTCAACGGCCTCCTCAGCGAGTGTCCAATCCATCTCCACTTTCTCCTGCCTATTTGTTGAGCGATTGGTTCTTGTTTTGTTTGTTCCCATAGTTTCTTGTTGGTGATTCTTTCCGGCCATCTAATCTTCAGTATAGAGCGAAGACAGTTATTGATGAAGGTCTGAAACCTGTTGAAAACATTCTTTGTGACCCGCCAAGTTTCTGATCCGTATAGAAGAACTGACTGACTTGAGGTTTGTATTGGAAATCCGAATTTTGTTGTTGATGCTGAGTGATAGCGGAAGATTTCCAGATTGGTTTCAGGTTGATGAATGTGTTTCTCGCCTTTCCGATTCTCGATTTGACATGCTCGTCTGTTCCTCCTGTGGTTGAGACAATGCTTCCTAGATAAGTGAATGAAGTAACCTCTTTCAAATCCCTCCCGTTGATGGTGATTGGCGCTGGTTGTTTTTGCTGCCGCTGTTGCTGTTGGTTGGTTATTTTCATAACCTCCGTCTTGTCTATGTTCACCCGGAGTCCTGTCTTTGCTGCTTCTTCGACCAGTTTGTCGGTTTTCGTTTGTAAGTCTTCGATTTTGTGTGACATCAAACATAAATCATCCACGCGCGAAATCCTCACGTCGTTCCAGGATATCCCTGTCTTCTCGTTTCCCACTGTCTGACGCATAATCCAGTCCATCACAATTAGGAATATCATTGGTGATACATCATCAGTAAATACTACAGTATACTCTACCAGAGTGCCCAAGATGAATTTTGTTATTGCAGATCGGTTAATACTTAATATTCACAAATAAATTTATCTGTGCAGTGTGTGTGTGTGGAATTTATTGAATTCAAAGTAATTTTCAAAATGGAATACACCATATGAAATCGTAGATTAGTAAGTCGACTTGTTCTTATTCCATAAGTGTACAGTTACGCCGACCTCTCATACAATGTGAAGCTACAAATTAACACCATCTTAGAAGGCAAGTATTTAATGTTCCACATGCTGAAAAGCAATTCAACGACTGACAGTTTCATCTAACAGCGAAAAACGAATTCAAGTATTGGTTTTTACGGATTTGGTTGATTGGCTACAGGATTTCATCATGAGCTGACATTGGTTAGAGGACCACTGGAAAACAACCTGGGAGTACTGGACAGCTGTTTCGTCAGCCTAGTTTGGGACTCTTCGGCAGTACGCACCCACCGACAGGGTTCGAACCCAGGACCTTCTGGTTACAAGGCTAGTGAGCTCGTAGACCATTAAGCCACTGGGATCCGATCCAATGGCCACGGATGAATTCTAACTTCTGCTAATTCACGATATAGCGCAACCGAATTATTATATGCTTACTGCAGAATTTGATGGTCCCATACTCACTCTCCTATTGCTGCATGGAATGGTAATGTTAGTGATGTGTGAGCTAGACCTATAACCTGCCGTTTATTTAGTTGCTCCTTAGTTGGAGTAATTTTTCTAGTTTATGTCCATTCATATATATTAAGACATTTTGCAAACCAAAAAGAAACAAACATTGTGGGATACATTGAATTCAATTTCATTTCATTTGTGTACTCTAATTGTTCCACAAAACACATCAGTTTTCAAGAATAGATTTTTTCGGGATTTGACTGCTTTGAAGTTTGATCACAGATTGATGTCAGTGTTAGAGAACCATTGAAAATCCCCAAGGGGTACTGAACAGTTGCTTCGTTCTAATTTGGAACTCTTTTCCAGTATGCAGTAAGAAGCTTTAACATAATAATTACTTTCGTAACACAACTTTTATACATTAACCTGATAGTAGTAGTAGTAATAAAAGTTCATGTTAGATGGTTAGCTTACCAACTTCCAGAAAAGCCTGGTGAGATCTTTCAGAATGATATAATGTTCGTGATACCTTACTCAATGAACTATTGATTTCTAAGTGTTGATTTGTAGAGATTTGATTGGTTACAGGATTTCATCATGAGCTGACATTGGAAAACAACCTGGGAGTACTGGACGGTCATTTCGTCCTAGTTTGGGACTCTTCATCAGTACGCACCCACCGGGGGTCGAACCCAGGACCTTCTGGTTACAAGGCGAGCTAGCTCGTATACCATTAAGCCACTGGGTTCTAGTGAGAAGTCGTGACCAATAGGGTGCATCAGGTCAGGTGTGAGGACAAATACTCGCCGAAGACATTGGCTAGTGATCGCGCTATGTCGTGAATTGGCAGAAGTTAGAATTCATGCGCTGGCCATTGGATCGGGTCCCAGTGGCTGCTTAATGGTCTACGAGCTCGCTAACCTTGTAACCAGAAGGTCCTGTGTTCGAACCCTGGAGGTGGGTTCGTACTGATGAAGAGTCCCAAACTAGGACGAATCAGCTGTCCAGTACTCACAGCTGGTTTTCCAGTGGTTCTCTAACCAATGTCAGCTCATGATGAAATCCTGTAACTATTGATTTACTTGCTCTACAGATTACTTCCTAATAATCTAGAGTTTGAGAAAGACGAACGATCGATGTTGGCTGATTAATCAGAAATTCTCCTGAACTTCTCAATCGGAGATGTTCCTCTTGTAGGAAAATCGAAGTTCAGAGAGTTTTATTACTGAAAAACAAATAGAATATTTGTAGACTTAAAAAGTTGTCAGATTGCAGAACTAGTATAATAATGTGGTGAGTCGTCTGAGACACCTTTGTACCACCAATTACCCAAAAACAAAATCTGATTTGAGTATTTTGGGCAGAAAATTCTTTTTTGAGGGAACTATATCCACTTTTCAGTTATTTTTACGAGTTGATCATGGATTGATATCAGTTAGAGAACCATTGAAAACCAGGGAGTACTGGACAGCTGCTGTTTCATCTCACTTGTTTGGGAATCATTGGCAGTACGCACCCACTGGGATTCGAACCCAGGACCTTCCGGTTACAAGCAAGCAAGGTCATATACCATTCATTCACTGGGACCCGATTCAATGATCATTTCATGAATTCTAACTCCCACCAATTCGTGATTTAGCCCGACCACAACCAATGTCATTGGTGGGACATCCGTCCTCACACTTGACATCTGGATGGACCTCACTGGTCACGACTTCTCACCAGAACTCCAGGAAACTTTGTCCTATAGCAAGTCACTAGCGAGCATCAGATTAATTTTCTATAGTTGGTTTGTAAGGATTAGATCATGGATTTTTACCTAAATTTATTTACAAATAAACCTGACTTAAATATTAAGCAACATGCCTTTTATTTCCAAGTTCAACCCTTTTTCTAACCTAATACACCTCTGTGGTATTTCTGTTTATTCATTGACAGCTTCAAGCAATTCTTTTCCTACTCTTCTCCGTCAACTTAGTGATGAGTAAAAGGATTCTAGTGAGAGGTGATTGTAAAACTCAATGTTTAATGCGTAGTCTCGCATGCGACAGTCGATGCAAAAGGGCGGTTGGTGCTAAAGAAATTTGTAATACAGCATGTCGAAACTTACTGTCTCTATGCCTTAACCAACCGTGTGCAAGCTTTGCAGAAAATTACTATCGAAGATACCATTAGTACATTACTATTTATTAGTCAGTAATATTTCTTTATTTTTTTTACATTCCAGAAGAAGTGTACATTTATTTTTTATAACTATACTTTTAACCATACATGTAAATTTTAAAGGTGTTTAGTGTGTTACTTATGAGATATAAATTTGAAAACTGTTCATGATGTTTAGTATTATGGTCTTGCTTAAATTTCTGCTGTGTTACACTGTTTCATTTTGCTCATTGGTATCAAAGAAAGCAGGAAGCCGCTTGGTACGCTGAAACCTTCTACGGTTGTTTCTGTTTAATAATACAGATCAGGAAATGTAAACTGCAGCTAATCTTTTTCACACGACCGCTTGTGATTCCGGAAGTCTTTTAGAAGGAGAAAGTGTGGGCAGTTGTACTGGTTTAGGCTTCATTGATTTTGTGATGAAACGTTTGAAGTAGCCATTTCCAGGCAGAATTCTTTTCAGAGCGTTCACTGTCAGGACTGCGAATGTTGCGGATTTTGCGGTTCAATGAACGCATCAGATTTTGTTTTGTATATAGAGGCACTCAGTTTGAAAGTTAGTGAGTTGTCTGTTCCATGTTGGCTTTCCGTGGATGGATCTGTTTAGTGTTTCATCTTGTTGTTCACGTTTTGTTAGTTGAACGTCCAGAAAAGATACTTTTGAGTCGGGTTCCTTCTCTAATGTGGACTGGATTTCAGAGTGGTACCTGCAGAAAAAATTCAGGATGCCTCCTGAATTCTCTTTATTATTTGAGATAATGAGAGTATCACCCATGTATCTTTTGTGAAACCCAAAAGTGTCAATCACTATCTTTAGTTATGTGTTTTGGAGTTTTGACAAGCAGTAATGAGCTTTTCAATACGCGTATACACATTCAGGTATCTTAGGAAGTCTTCAGAAAATTTATTAATAATTACTGTCAAAAATTTTTTATAACTTTCTACTCTGACACTAATATTCAGTCGGTTGATTAAACACCACTCTTTGAAAGCCCGCAGAATGAAAAAGCGATGTATATATACATATATATAAATGTAAACATATATCAGCTTACATGTTACTGTGAAGCAAGCCAGGTACATTGGTCGTTCGACGCGTATCCTATCTAAGAGGGTTTAAGAACACTATCTCTCATGGCTGCAGAAAGGTAGCAGTGACCCTATAAGGAATGCATCAATCCAGCATCTTGTCAACACTAGTCATTCCACCTCAGCAAACGCCTCTTTCAGAGTAATATACGAAGTGAAGAACAGCCTACTAAGGGCAACAGACTTTCGTCTACTTTATATTGCTGAAGCTTTAGCTATTCAGTCAGAGAAACCGGAGCTAAGTACACAAAAGAAAGCTATTCAACCACTTCTACTATCATAGTAATAACCATGTTGATTCCTACTAAATTGGTTTTTGTATGTTTATTCTTCTAAGTCCTTAAAACTCTTGTATTTCTGCAGAACCTCTAGAAAATTCTTGCATATCTTCTAGTTTGTGAGAAATTAGACAAATATCATCGACGAAGTTCAGATCCTCCAAGTTTTTTGTGTGGGTCCATTTTATGCCTGTGTAGTGTACCTTGAACCTTTGAATTTTCGTTTTAACGCATTCACCCACTTTTGGCGCCACACCATCTTGTGATTTCCGACATGGCTGTACACACGTAGTTCGCTCCCTTGTTGTGCTACTATTCAGCGCACTCTTCGAGCTTACTACCCAGCCGAGGCATCAGATAAGTTGTAAAGGTTCAAGGTACACTACAGTATGGTAAACTCTACGCGATTTTTTGTGTTATTCATCTTTAACTCTTTGGGCTCCTGTTTTCTATCAATTGTCTCCAAATTACTACTCATCACTTAATTAATTAGTTGTAAATACCCTCAGTTACTTAAGATTATTTGTTGTTGCTCGCAAACTGATGTATTTCACACTGTGGTGAGAGCAAGCTGCTAGCCAATTGGTAGACATTGATCTACGCTGATTGGTGGAAATTAATCTGGGCTGATTCAACAACCGATCACAGCTGACCTAGACGTGGACAAATATGATTCGCAGACAAGTGGCTCGCATTTCCGAGAAATATCGAAAACGAGAAAGCAGAAGGCTGCGTTTGTTTGCAAACAACCAATCAGAAGACCGCCTTCTTTCTGCGGGCAGAGCCTTATTAATGTACGTAAAAAACATATAAATACCTGTTGGTTTTCGTAATAAAACTGATCTGTTGCCTGCCCCTTGTCTTCTGTTGTTACAACACATATTGTTACCAGCTGACAATGACCTTTGACATTTGTTGACAGTTAACATTATACATATACACCCTGTAAATAAATGTGCAACTTCAAGAAGAAGTTACGAAGAGAGATCTCTTTGTTAACTTGTGTTTTAAACTGTAAGTAAATATTAAATTACTTATGGATATCTGAAGAAATCCACTCCAAGTTACCTTCCGTTTCTTCAAGGAGAAGTTTCCGTCAGCCTTTAAAATAAAAACCAAACGACAAAGGTAACTGTAAAACGCCTTTTCGTATCTCTTTTCTTGATCAGCACTTCATAGAATACTTTTACTGCTGAGATTACTACTGTGGTGACAGCTGTCTGCAAGAAAAAATTGTAGACAACAATTGACGTCAATGTTTACGTCCCAAGTCTTGGTCATGAGAAAAAAACAAGAACATAGCCTAATCTTGAGGATCTCAACAACTAATCCCAGCAGACTCAGAGTGGGCGGATACGATTCGCAGAGATATGGCCTGACTTTCTATGAAACGGTCACAAAGGAATGACAGAATAACCTTCAGCAGGAAAACAACCAAGCAGAAGACCAGTTGCTTCTCTGCTAACAATAAGGAATAATAATGTACATAAAAATCTATAAATATCTGTTGATTTTCTCAATAAACGATCTGTTGCCTGACCCTTGTCTTCTGTCGTCACACTAACATTATGAATTTTTACAAGTAAAAACCAAAAAGTTGCAGAAGAGTGAGACAGCAAAGATACGATTGCAAGTGAACATACAAAAGACAGAGGTGATTAAGTTCCTTACCAACCAACAAAAGCAAGTACCAGTCTGTATCAACGGGGGAAATTCGAAGGAAGTCACCTCTTTCATTTTTCCAGACAACATTTCATCTATAGGTGGCTTGGATGAAGATTTTGGAGGTAAGGTCGGAAAGGCAAGACAGAACTTCATGAAAAAGAAATTAGTGTGGAAATCCAACACAAAAGCCTCCTTGACTGGTCTCATACCGAGGATCATATGGCCAGCCAACCGAGAATCTATTACCCAACAAATTTGCTGAAAAAATGGATTAGATACACGCTGAGGAGACAGTTAAGTGACATCGTACACAAGGCTAACCTTCGGAGGGGGGGGGGGGGGAGGAATCTGAATGGAAAACTATGTGTTGAGAGTCCGAGAGTGACATAGAGGAGATCATGTTAGGCGGAGGTGAGAGCTTATGGGCGATGACGAAGCCACCTAGAAAAGACTGCAGAGAACAGTGTGAAACTGAAATGAGCTGTTGAAGTCTTTTATTCTACTTGGAATCTAAGGGAATAACTGTATTACGATAATGAAAGACAAGCTGTTGCATTTGGCCACTTCAACATTCATATACCAGTCCACTTTCTCAGGTGGAGCCGAGTACATTAGCTGTATCATGCCTCTACCTGTAAAACGAGCTTGGAAACACTACCCAGAATGGTTAGAAAAGGAGAACACAAATGTGTGTATAGTCCAGTAACAGAACATCTGGTGAATTCAGGACATTCAGCTACAGTTGAAAAGTCCTTCGAAGTCATATACAAGATCCGATCAAGCCCACCAAAGGGAGTGAAATCAAGACATTTAGGAACAGCTGAGGCACTGGCGATCCAAAAGCTCAAGGCTACTTTATGTGTCCAAAAGAAATACTTTCAACTGTTGTGCCTATCGTGGCCATCATGAAAAGTTAGTCTCACCAATAGTGACTGTTCTGTTACCTTTCTTGTCCAACCTTCCAGTTTATGTCATATTTACCTTTTAAAATCACTATCTGCATTATTAGATTTGATTACTGTTTTTATCTTTATACGTCCAAACCTCCTACCCATTTCGTTAATACTACGTCCTTAACCTGTAATTATACAAACTGACGAGTTTTCCAGTAATTATAAGCGTATTTTGTCTTTTCTACTCGATCTTACTGATTATTACACATTGGAATTTTCAATTTGACCTTTGACTTGGAATATTTCTAGAATGGTACTACTGTGGTGAGAGCTGGCTGCTAGCCAAAGTTGGTAGACAGTAATTGACGTCAATGTTTATGTCCTCAATATTGGTGGTGAGAAAATGAGAACAAAGGCTTTGCGTAGGCGGATACAGTTAGCATATGGATGATCTGACACAGCCACAAAGAGATGCAAGGTTAACTTTCTGTGAGAAACAACCAGTTAACAGACTGTATTTTCTACTAACAATAACCTACAATAGTGTACATTAAAATCTATAAATATGTGTTGATTTTAATTGAATTTTGGATTTTCCCGTCGATTGATTGGACCGAAGTGCTCGGTCTCAGGTTGACATGTCATCACTCACTGAGAAATGCAGGTACATCCAACTGACGAGTCCCAAATAGGACAAAATCTGCATCCTGGATTCCACTGCTAGTCACCATCAACCAATTAAATGTGTTGAGTTTCCTTAATAAACGATCTGTTGCCTGGCCCTTGTCTTTTGTTGTTATAGTACTACTACCTATCTTCTGATTATTACACTTAGTAATTTTACTAATGTGACCTCAGAGCGGAAATAGTTCTCGAACTTTCTCACACATTTAGTATAAATACACGAATGTACAGCGGTCAAGTTGATGAGTTCGTTGAAAAGAAAATTTTCTTCACTGCAACCACCTTTTAAATAATTCCTGTCATGAATTTCTCAGTTCAAATGAAAAACAGACTCACAAATAGACCAGTAACTGAGCATTTAAATAAATATTTGTTTATTTTACTGTTGTTTTTTTTGTATACAGAAATTGTTAACACACAACAACATAAGACAACATAACATAGAGAATGTGTAAGTAATTATCAGTTCTTGCACTGAAATTTTTTGTTTTGTTTGTATATATACTAACTCTCTATTCATCCTTCTGTAATATTTTTT